TGTCAACCACGGCTCCCATATTTTCAAAAATTTCTGTTGGGAGTCATTACGGATTATCAACATCTGTTCATTGAGCATCAAAGTGGTCATACGGTCCTGCTCCCCCTGAAGAGGAACAGATGGGTCTTTCCAGGCCTGAGCAGTTGTTCTAGTGGCATACAAAATCAAATAGAAAGCCAGCTTCTGCTGATAAGCCAACAGGCCCAGTATAGGACAATGAAGCAAAGCATACCGAGCCTCCTGGTGTATGGAGAGATGGAACAAAGTGTAAAGAAGGCCAAACACGGGACCAAAAGCAAACCAGTCTCGGGCAGGATAACCATATATGCAATACATCTCCACGATGGCCACAACCCCGAAAGCAGCGATCACTATAGGCAGGGTCGCCTGGGCCTTATGAGCCAGTACCCAATACCAACTACACAGTAGTTTGTATGCCGCCTCCAGTGTGGCTGTATTAAATGAACATTTAGCTATTAACGACCAGGACTTCTTCCAGTCCTCCAGATCCATGACCGCCCCCAAGTCACGCTCCCACTAGGCAACATATGATAGAGAATTATGCATTGAGAATGCATAAAGTAGGGAAAAAAGACCCAGGGCGCCCAGACGTTGTTGGCAAAGCTGTTCAAAGGCAGATTTATAATATGGAAAGATGGAAGTGCCATGCAATGGGGTCAACCAGTGCCGCAATTGAAGGAAGGAATCCCACCTGAGGGACATCCCATGATTCCTGAAGGGAGTTCCAGATGAGGAAGGACTGAGAAGTCAAAAAATGTTGCACCTGCAAGAAACCACTGCCCCCCCCCCCCCACCAAGAGAACACTCCTTGTTGTTCTAAACCCGGAGGGAAAAGAGGGTTATTAGTTATTGGGAGCAAAGGTAGAAAGGGCGCCATCCAGCCACTGGAGTAGCGAACCAAGTCCCACACTTGTAGGCCATGGAGCAAAATCGGACTCAGAGTCATTGGGCGTAGGGCAGGGGGGAGCCATAAGAGCATCAATGTTGCAATGGGGGCACAGTTAGGGAGTTCCAAAAGGACCCAGAGAGGAATATCAGAGGAAGTGTGTAACATATACAGGGGGCAATCTGGCTAGCCTGGTAATACTGGAGTTTATGGACAAAAAGCGTATTTCTAGAGACTCTGGGGCGCCTATTGGCCCAGATGAAGTGCATAATCCTTGCCTGAATCAACCGGAGAAAATGAGGAGGAACCCGCACTGGGAGGGTGCGAAAATGATACAACAATTTAGGCAGGATGGTAATTTTCACCGAGTTAATCCATCCTATCCAGGACAATTACGGGAATTGCATAAGAGAAGAAGCAGAGCGAAGCAATGGATAATAATTTGCAGCAAATAAAGAGCCATAGGTAGGGGTTAGGTGAATGCCCAGGTATTCCAGTGAAGAGGAAGCCCAATTGTAAGGAAAGAGGGCCTGTAGGCATGAAACCAAATCTGAGGCCAAAAATAATATTGAGGGCGACAGTCTTATCCAGATTAATACAGAAACCCGAAATCAAGGAGAAACACGTAAGGACCTGTTGCAAATTTGAAATTTGGGAGCGTTGTCAAGGGATTGGTGAAAGTCAGCAGGGCATTATCCGCAAAGAGGTTCAACTTAAACTCCTGTCCCACGTATGAACCCTCAATATGTTACAATCAGCCCAGAGTCTCATCCCTCGCCAAATAGGAAAAGGATCCGAGAAATATCCTGCATACTTAACCGAAGCTGAGGGGGAAGAGTACAGGGCCTGAATCCAAGAAAGAATAGAATCCCCAAAGCCCCAATGGGACAGCATGAACCGCAGGTATTCCCAGGATAGGAAATCAAAAGCTTTATATATGTCTAGCGACAGTAGAAATCCTTGGATTTTCTGCTGCTGCAGAAGATGTATAAGGTAACCCACCTTACGAGCATTATCACCCATCTGTCTCCTGGGAACGAAACCTACTTGGTCCCTGTGGACCAGATTACGCAAATATTTATTGATACGAAGACTGAGAATCTTGCCCAGTATCTTCAGATCTTCATTAAGAAAAGAAATGGGCCGAAAGGCTTGCAGTTCCTGCACATCATCTGTTGTCTTAGGAATCATTGAGATGTGAGTTCTGAGCACATCCGGAGAGGGCAAAGAACCCTTTCATAATACACTGAAGTTACCAGCCAAAAAGGGCACCGGCAGGGTTGCAAATTTCTTATAATAGAGGCCTGAAAAGCCGTCAGGGCCGCAGTGGATCGTAAAGATTTGATAGCTTGAAGTACTTCCGATGCAGTTACACAGGCATTGAGGTCTACCTGCGCTGCTTCGGACAATCCAGTAAGTCGTAGATCTTGGAAGAACGCTTCTGTCCGAGCTACAGGGAAGGGGTCCGGCTTAGCATATAGGTGGGAAAGGAAGTCCACGAAACATAAACCGATTTGCTGGGCATTGGAAGTACAGCTCCCCACAGGGAGTCGTAACCGGACCAGTCTGTGCCAGTCTGTGGGACTTCCCCACAGAATTGAGCTTCCTACCTGGCATTGGACCCGGCCTATTAGCAGAAGTATAACATTTATGTTTGGTCCAATGCAAGGCCCATTCAACCTCCGAAGAAGCAACCAAGTACAATTCCGCAGCCAGAGTATCCAGCATTCGGTTATGGGCTGCGGATGGGTGCAACATCCAGAGAGCATCCGCAGATGCTAGTAGGGAATGAAGGTCCTAAAGACGATGCTACCACTCCCATTCCCGCTTCCTGGCCGCAGCTAGCTGTATGATATGACCCCACACTGTGGCTTTATGCACCTCCCACAGGGGCACTGCCAAAGAAACAGATCCTTAGTTCTCCGTGAAATATGTACACGCATGAAGGATTCTATTTGTTGGCAGGTAACCTGAGTGGTCAATAAAGATGAGTTAATGCACCAGTGAAATGGGCACCGTGCTGACCCCAAAAGAGCAAGGAGTAGAACCAGGGGATCGTGATCTGACCAGTGCGAGAAAGGGATAGTTATTCGCCTGACTAAGGGAAGTTGTTGAACATGCATAAATATGTGGTCAATTATGCAGAAACTGTTATGGGGATTTGAGTAGAACGTGAAGTGGCACTCAGCTGGGTGAAGTTCCCTCCAAACGTCCACCAGCCCCACAGTCTGCAAAAGAGAATGCATACGTTCCTCCAACACTAAGTCGTGAGAAGGGGACACCTCCCGGGCATAGCGCCTATCTGGAGTGGAATCCAATGTAACATTTGAATCCCCCAAAAGAAGGAGAAGACCCTTGGATTGTCGGGAAATGATGGTGCAAAGATGGGAGAAAAATTTATCCTGAAAGCAATTGAGGGCGTAATAAGAGACAAAAGTGACCTCCTGGTCCCAGAGGATGCCCTGTAGGAGCAAGTACCTACCTGTGGGATCCGCTATATTCTGAACACAGAGGGGAGATTATGTTTAAAAGCTATCAGAACACCCCATCATTTCTCAGGAGCTGAGGCGTTGTGGAAAGTGGGATAATGAGGAGAAAGATACCGTGGCGCGAGGACTGGAAAAACCTGGTTTCCTGCAAGCATAACACGTCAATTTGTTGTGATTTGGGGTGATAAAAAACTTTAGAGCTCTTCTGAGGCACATTAAAGCCTTGGATATTTTGTGAATGTACTTTCAAAAGGGGTGAAGCCATGGCAGAATCAGCAGAATCCACTCAGCAGAAAAGGAATACAGTAAGTCGGCCAACACTTTCCATTCCTAAAGACAGTTGGACCCTGGCATCCCAAAACCCTGCATAAGGCAAGAGCGGAGAAACCAAAAAAGGAAGGAGAACAAGAGAGGAAAAGAGGAGAAAGACATAGAAAATATGTACAATAGCACAATCGTATCACACCAATGGTGAAGAGCATCTTATACTCAAAGGATACCAGTTGGGGGTGGCTCTACCACCAGACACATGGCTGCAAATGAATACATCAGAAATATAAGCCCTCAGGGGGCAAAAGACAACAAGCACGACGCCAGAAACCCGTAACATTCTACAGTAGCAAAAAGTAAAAGACCTCAAGTCCAGTAAGGACACCACCTGGTGACCCCCACCCTAAAACGGAACCCAAAGGGAGCCGGGTGGGTAGTGCCCAGTCATTGAAAACTATCAAACTAGGAATGCCTAAAAGCAGGGCATCCCTAGGGTTGGAGTCAGCCGGTGCGACAACACTTGGTGACACCCCCTCCGACGATCTCCGCAGAATGGATCAGATCTGCAGATTGAGCATAATGTATGTATTGGACCCCATCACTGCTGTCAGTGGGAGGAATAGTGCCCCATCATTAGTGTCAGTGGGAGGAATAGTGCCCCATTGGAGTCAATGGGAGTAATAGTGCCCCATTGGTGTCCGTGGGAGGAATAGTGCCCCATTGGTTTCAGTGGGAGGAATAGTGCCCCGTCATTGGTGTCAGTGGGAGGAATAGTGCCACATCATTGGTGTCAGTGGGAGGAATAGTGCCCCATCATTGGTGTCAGTGGGGCGAATAGTGCCCCACCATTGGTATCAGTGGGGGGGAATAGTGCCCCAGCATTGGTGTTATTGGGGGAATAGTGCCCCATCATTGGTGTCAGTGGGGGAATAGTGCCCCCATCATTGGTGTCAGTGGGAGGAATAGTGCCCCATTGGTGTCAGTGGGTGTCAGTGAAGGGGCACTTTTCCTCCCACTGACACCAATGATGGGGCACTATTCCTCCCACTGACAGCAATGAGGGGCACTATTCCTACCACACTGACATCAATGATGGGGCACTATTCCTTCCACTGACACCAATGATGGGGCACTATTCTTCCCACAGACACCAATTATGGGGCACTATTCCTCCCACTGACACCAATGATGGGGCACTATTCCCCCCACTGACACCAACAGTGGGGCACTATTCCCCCCACTAACACCAATGGTGGGGCACTATTCCCCCCACTAACACCAATGAGGGGGCACTATTCCTCCCACACTGACACTAATGATGGGGCAATATTCCTCCCACTGACAACAGTGATACTTACATTGCTGTGCTGACCCCTGCTCCAGCCCGGGCTTCCCCTCCCTCTCCCATCCACAGCCAGCATAACTGGCTGCAGCAGCACCATCTGCTCTGCCCAGATCACAGCCACACAGACACTTACCCATCAGCTGTCTTCCTTCTCTGGCCGCTCTCCTCCTCTTCACTGGCTCTGGCTGGTCCCTCACTCGATCTTCTTCGATCTTCATGCTGCTGCTCGGCTCCTCCTCTCCAAGTTTCTCCTCCTAGCCAGTGATTGGCCACATGTGTGCCTTTCCTGAGCTACAGATCCAGCAGCCAATCACCGGTGAAGAGACAGATCTGGCAGAACAGTCTTCCATAAGCTGCCCAGTGATCCACACCACCCTCCCTGAAAATTGTCACCCTAGGCAAATGCCTTGTTTGCCTCGCAAATACGCCCCTGACTTCAACCCGGAGAAGAGCAGGATGGACTGGATCATAGAGGGGTCCATGGGAGGGCCCTCTTCCAGCTGGATGTCTTCTCCCAGAGGCGGCCCAGAGGAAGCGGCATGTGGGTCTCCTCCAGCATGGCAACAGAAGAGCTGCGGCCCTGGTAGGCGAAGGTGAGGTGGAATGGAAAGCCCCATGCATATTTGATTCTGCGACTCACCAGGACTGAAATGAAGGGCTTCAACTGGCGACGTTTCTGAAGAGTGATCTGGGAGAGGTCCGAAAATAGCTGGTGGCGATACCCCTGGAAACTGAGGTCTGGTTCCTGGCTGCCAAGAGGATGGTCTCCTTAGTGCGATAATAGGTAAATTTGATAATAATGTCTCTTGACATGACTGTGGCTGCAGCGTCCATCTTATCCGCAAGATCGTTCATCTGAGTGCCCAGCTCCCGAATTTCTCATGAGAGACGTTCTGCCAGCTTGGAAGTAGCGGAGGACAATTCCGTCTGTAGCATGGACTTGAAGCGACCCGGGAGTTCAGTGTCCTTCAGACCCAGGGTGGGTGACTGCAGGGGCACCTCTGATGTGAAGTCTGCTTTGTCGGTGGGGTCTGGTTCACCCACGGGAAGAAGTGGCGTTGGGGGATCCAGACGATACCAGCGATACCCCTGGAAACTGAGGTCTGGTTGTTCCTGGCTGCCAAGAGGATGGTCTCCTTAGTGCGATAATAGGTAAATTTGATAATAATGTCTCTTGAGGGCCCCTCCGGTCGTCTAGGACCCAATGCACGGTGAATGTGGTCAAATTTGATCCGTTCAATGGGAATGGCGGGAGTCAGCTCCTGGAACAGGGCAGTAGCGGTTGAGGTGAGATCCGTAACGGTTTCCGGGATACCACTTAAGCATAAGTTGCCACGGCGGGAACGGTCCTCAAAATCCTCAAGCTGGAGCAGCGTGTCTGCCAATTCTTTCTTAAGGTTGCACAAATCCTGTTCATGGCTTTCCATGACTGTGGCTGCAGCGTCCATCTTATCCGCAAGATCGTTCATCTGAGTGCCCAGCTCCCGAATTTCTCATGAGAGACGTTCTGCCAGCTTGGAAGTAGCGGAGGACAATTCCGTCTGTAGCATGGACTTGAAGCGACCCAGGAGTTCAGTGTCCTTCAGACCCAGGGCGGGTGACTGCAGGGGCACCTCTGATGTGAAGTCTGCTTTGTCGGTGGGGTCTGGTTCACCCACGGGTAGTGGCGTTGGGGGATCCAAAATTGAGGCCTGTGCTTTGTATGCGGCCTTTGGCGGGAAGGTCACAAGTTCCAGTGTGGCCTGCCGAGCACTGGAGGCGCGGGAAGCCCGTTTTTTTGCCCAACGGTGCGGTGGGTGACAGCGATCTGGGAGGAGGTTGGTGGGTTTGTGGCTGACCCCCCCTAGAGTCGGCGGATGGGCCCATGTGTCTGGTGGGCCAGAAGCGTGCCTACCGAGTGGCCATCATGGACGCTGCTCACAAGCTCCCCCCAGAGCTTGCCCATTTTTAAATCGTATGATGTTTTTCTGTGGACTTGTTAGATAATTTTGGAATAAATTGGCTTATTGACAAACTGGAGGGGAGTCTACCAAACTAATTAGGGATTTTATTGTGAACAAAATCAAAATAAAGAATATATGTTCATGCACATCAAAATTATAAAACAGCAAGTCAGCAAAATCTGTCTATCACTCACAAAATCTAAACTCCATAAATAAACAATAAATTGTGCACTGTGTGTATAAATAAATATTTCAATAAATAATACAAAATGTGAATTTCATTCAAACCATATCTGTAACAAAAATGTCTGTATATGTTTAAGAAATTAAAACAAATTCAGTGTTAGGAAAATACCTGTAGAGAGTGGAGACCAATGGCCAAGAACATCAGGCTAAGCACTGTTCACAGTTCTTAAGAGGTTAAATTTTCTGAACCACTAGACAGATGATCGTTGTCAGAATCACTAGCCAAGGTTTGATGCAGGCGAAGAGTTTCGTAGTCGGGTCACAAGCCAAGGTCGATGCAGGAGAACAGGTTTGTAGTTGGGTCACAAGCCAAGGTCAATTCCAAGCCGTAATAGTGGTAGCTCAAGACTGCAGGTAGAAATACTGAGAGGAGCACAATAATCTGACAACAGGCAGTGCAGAGGCATGGCTTAAATCAGGAAGTGAATAGAAGGAGCAAAGGTTCAAGGCAAAACAAGGTTCAAGACAAGATCATTCAAGGATTTGTTCATGTAACTCTCCAGTATTATAGGTGGCTCAACAAGAAGAGACCTTGACTAACACAGCCAAGGTCCCCTGGGTTCAAACCCAGACATTACTTCTCCCTCTCAAAGGACCTCCCCTACACAGTCCTCTGGCTTATCAGGATATCGTCTGTGGAAATTTCTGAGTAAATGGGGGCAATGCAAATTTTGTTCTGGTTCCGATGAATCTTCTTGTGGCCCATAGCCTTCCCATCTCATCAGGTATTGTAATTTACCATGATGTATACGGGAATCAACAACTTTATCCAGTGCCGGGACCAGGTTATCTAGGCATACCAAACTGCATCCCCCCACCACAAACATGTATGAGCATTATATGTCAGCAACCCCCCCCCAAACACAAATCCAGCAGTAATTTACAAGTTTATCCCCTAAGTATAAAATCCCTTTACTCCCAGTGTAAATCAGTCCTCCTGCCGAAATATCCCCTGTCAGCACATATCACTGTCCCCCATCCTCCCTCCAAGCTCAAATCCTCTTTCTCCTCAAAGCACCCCCCAAAAAAAAAATCACCCCTCCTAATACAAATCCTCTACCCTTCAATTTTCCTCTCTGAGCACAAATCCTCTCCCCCCACCTAGCACAAATTACCCCCCCCCCCCCCCCACCCCCCCCCCCCCCTCCTAGCACAAATCCTACCCCTCAAATTTTCCATTATAGCACAAATTCCTCCCAATCATTCCTACTAGCACAACCCCCCCCCCCCAAAAAAAAAAAAAAAAATCCCCTCCTAGCACAAATTCCCTCCCCTGTCTACCGTACCACCACTCCTAGCACCCCTCCCCCCAGATTTACCATCCTAGAACAATTCTTACCCCCTGCCACCCCCCAGTTTCCCCCTCCCAACACAAAGCCTCCCCCAGTCTCCTTGTGGTGCCCCCCCACCTCACATGATACCATAGTGCCCAGGACAGCTGCCCATTCTGCCCACCCCTTGTCCCGATCCTGACTTTATCCACTAAGAATTCTTCCCCCTTTTGCACTTGGACTTAGCCCAGTGGAGGATGTGTATGTCCAGAAAAGGGATTCTTTCTGAAAGGCTTTAAAAGAGCCATATAAAAAACAGGATGGATTTTCATTGAAGGTAGCTTTATTTTGTAGACCACAGGGTTAATTTGTGCAATTACTTTGAAAAGACCAATGAACTTAGGACCGCATTTCCGAGAAGGATGTTTAAGCTGAAAAAGATTAGTGGATAGCCAGACCTTATCACCTAATGAATAGGAAGGAATGGTTCATCTGTGTCTATTTGCAGTTTTCTTATCGGATTGTTGAACTTTGTGTAAGGTCTTCTTCAATAATTTTTGATTGTTTTGTAAAGCAGAGTCTTTTATTTACAGATGGTAACGATGAATCTACCAGAAGTCCAGGAATAAAAGATGGATAATATCCATCTTTGGAAAAAAATAAGCTTAAAGAGATGGAACTATGGCAGGAGTTGTTGTAAGCAAATTCTGCTAACAGTAGATATTCAGTCTAATCATCCTGGTGATGGCAGAAGAAACAATGGAGATATTGCTCTAACATTTGATTCGTTCTTTCGGTCTGACCATTTGTTTGTGGATGAAAGGCAATAGATAGGTTAACTTCAATTCCCAGAGTAGAACAGAAGGTCTTCCAAAGCTTATATGTGGACTGGACTCCACGATCTGATATTATTTAATCTATAAGACCATCTGATCTGTAAATTTCTCATATTAGTACTTCTTCAGCTGTAGGGATGCTAGAGATGAGCAAAAAAATGGACCATCTTCATTAAACGATCTACTACTATGATGACAGTTGTAAATCCTTTGGATGGTGGTAGATCAGCAATAAAATCCATGGAAATGGATCCCCTTGGTCGCAAAGGCACAGGGAGGGGTTGTAACAGACCTACAGGGAGGGAGTGTGGACCTTATGGTGGGCACAGGATTCACATGAAAGAACATAATCCTTTATGTTATTCCAATAGTAAGGCTACCAAAAAATATGTGCAAGGAGGTCCGCTGTTTTCCTAATTCCAGGGTGACCAGCAGATTTTGAATCATGCATCAACTGAAGGACCTTAAATCGTGCCTCTTCAAGGACATACATTCTTCTTTCAAAGGTCCAGTGGCCATCATGAACGTTCATGTGCAAATTCTCTAGTGGATTGTTTATTAGTGGATCCCTGTTATAAGCTTCTTTAATCTCTGAAAAAAGCTTCACATGGTATATTACTCCCAAAAAGTGCTTTTCTTGTAAGATAGTACTCACTGGTTCTATGTTGGTAGAAGAGTCACCTGACATTCTTGACAAAGCATCTGCCTTTCCATTTTTACATCCTGGTCTATAACAAACAACAAAATTAAATCTTGAAAAAAAAAAGAGTCCATCTCCCCTGCCTTGCATTGAACCTCTTTGCGTATTTAATAAATTCAAGACTTTTATGGTCAGTAACACAGTTATGGGATGTGCGGTGCCCTCCAGAAGGTATCTCCTTTCAGTAAAGGATTCTTTATTGCTGTTCCTTGTTACTGATATCATAATTCCAGTCTGCCTTTATCATATGGCGAGAATAATAAGCAGATGGATATAATAACATCTTTTAACCAAGTCTTTGAGAAAGAACTGCTCCAATGGCTGTATTGGAGGAATC